ATATGAAATGATACCATAAATTTAAGTTTTGTGCTAGCAGTGGTTAAGATCGCTCATGAGCCATGACCCCAAATTAATTTGAAGAGGGAGGATCCAAGCTTGCAGCAAGAAGAATAATTTTTACTACTAATAAAAATGGACTTGGCAGTTGCTATTAATTACACAGTTCGATGTTTAACAATGCGACGGGGTTATAACTTGCGATTGAATTATTTGCCAGGTATCAGAGAGAATTATAACTTGCGATTGAATTATTTGCCAGATATAATTTGCCAGGTATCAGAGCAGAGGAACTGAAGTCTTGATTCTCGTATTCATGCATGTATAGCATATTTCAGAATCAAGCCATCGTTTGGTTGCCAAGAAAAATCAGAGGGGGGTAATTATTGAAGTAAAAAATCTGACAAAACATTCGACAAGACTATACAATGGAGCCCCCTGTGTATATAATACACATACACACACACTTAACCATTGGTCCTTAATATATTTTCATAACCTTTTCTCCTAACTTATATCATGTCTCTATTGCAGCCAGCCAGCCAACCATAAGGAAGTAAGCATAGCTTGTCGGTGATTTTCATCATAGCAATAGGTAATGAGAAGATTCCTGGGGGGGAACGGAACAATACATGTATTTGTGTGCTTATGCAAGAAAAGACAAGATAAAGATTAAAAACAGCTCAAACATTGACATCAAAATCTTTAAAGAATTGTGTTCAAACATTACTACTAAATTTATACTAGCTAGTTGACACAGAGAAATTAAGATAGAGATATACCTGCCATGTTCTGGTGATGAGGGAATTCCTAATCTTGCTTGAACTGTTAACTTTTAGACAATATTATTGCAAGAAACAGAAACGAACGAGGCATGTGATCAAGAAGCGTCTCTTGAGGAAGTGAGCGTAAGGAACACACTTATACTTCATGCATTTCCAGTGATGTCTGGTGGAAAAGAAATGCGTGCATGCATGTATTTGCCCCGCGAATTGTGGACCCAAAATGTTATCTGTGTTCATGAAATTGTAGAGATTAAATTCTTGCTTACTCCCTGGGTCTTCATCATGATTATAACTTACTCCTTCATTTTTGAGAACCTATAACTTATTACAATTCATGTTGGTTTTTTCTCAATTCCAAATGTTGCATTCAACACACTACCACAAAATTATCAAATACAAATAAAAATACATATAAAAATAATACCATAAAAAAATTATAATGCCATTTACCAATGGAATAGTATCTTGTTATTTTTCTTGGTATTCACCTACAGAAATTTTTTGTTGGTAACTATCAAGGAAATTACAATTAGAAATTTAAAAAAATGAAAAAGAAAAGAACAAAAAAGTCACATCATTATCTCAGATAAAATTACCGATAAAATATGTTCGTCGCTAATATCCGTTGGTGAATCCATCGATTCTATTCGAGTTATAACCTGATAGTTAAACACCCTCTCCCACTCCTTCATTTCTTTTTCTTCTTCTTCCTTTTTATTTCGTAGAAAATAGCACACAACACCCTCTTATTTTATCACAAGTTATGCTCAAATTATCACAAATTCAGCCACCCAACATTTATTATGTCGAAATCTTATTATGATTCAATTTTTTTGAATATTCATCACATTAAGTAGGAAAAACTACCTATTTTTTTGTTGTAACCCATTTTTAAAATGTTATTTTTTTAGAATTTTTATATATTTAATATATGTAGTTTGTTTGCATGTTTACTTGTTTTATACCTTTTTCGTATAGAAATTTGTTGTATAAATATATGATTTTTATATGTTAAGGTTTGTTTGAGATTTTGAAAAATTATATTTGTTTGTCATTTGGTGAAATTGAGTTTGATTTTGTAACTTAGGGGATTTATAATGAAATAAATAATGATTTATTTAACGGCAACATTTCATATTTTGTTAATTTTATTATTAAGTTGAAAATTTTGGTAAATTTGAAGGAACTTAAATTCTTAGGAAAAATTAATAATGATTTAAGGATACTATTAAAATAAATTGAATAAGTCTGAGTTAAATCAATGATATTTAAGTAGTTCACATTATTAATTAATACATGCTATTATAAATATTCTATATAGGTTTCATATAAGTAGTGGATAGTTATTCGTGGATATATCGAGTTTCACCTGAAGAGTTACATATGATGAATTATTATAATGGAGTTGAGGGTTTTATTAATTATGCACTATCTAATTCAAAAAATATTATTGGAGAAGATATTAGATGTTTATGTAAGAGATCTAAAAATAAGTTTCTTGATCCAAATATTGTTATAATGCATCTTCTATGAAAAATATTCATAGAAAAATACTTGTGTTGGTTTGCACACGAAGAACCATATGTTCTTTACAAGATCATAGTAGAAACAATGGTTATGTCAACTTTAAGTTCTAGCAATGAGCATAAGTTATAAATGATAATAGTAATCATTATATGAGTATGGTTATTAATGTAATAAGAAAGAATTATTGTGATATAGATGAATGTTTAATCATAAATGAAGAACCAAATATGGACGCAGCCATGCCTTTTAATGTTTAATCATAAATGAAGAACCAAATGTGGACGCAGCCATGCCTTTTTTTTTCTTTTGAAAGTTTTTGACAAACCATTAAGATGATAAGTGCACAAATCATATTAAATTATTAGTCATTGCACGTGTGTTCACTATCAAGTCACATTATAGGCTAAGTGAGGCTAGTTACAACACAATTATCGAATGGACAAGAAGCATTTTACTTAAAGGGAATAGGCTGAAAGAGAACTTTTATGATGTTCAATCCATGATAAAACCATTTAGTCTAGGATACTAGAAAATTAACATGTCTCCAAACTTCTGTATATTATACTACCCTAGAAAATTAACATGTGTCCAAACTTCTGTATATTGTACTACCTAGAAAATATAGATTTAACCGAGTGCAAAACCTATAGGCATGCTCTGTGTAAACCCAGAACTAGCAGGAGTTTAACCGAGTGCAAAACCTATAGGTATGCTCTGTAGGACTTTTATCGCATATAGAAAACTAAGATATTTTTCAATCATTCCTAAACTGCAAAGGTTATTCATGCCTTTGAAGACCATTGAGCACATAGCATGACATCATTCACATGATATAGTTGATATAGTCATGGTGCACCATTTTGATGGTTAAGTTAGAAACATTTTAATATAGTGCATCCTCAGTTTAATTTCAATTTATTCAGGTTATTTTCTTGTTGGCTAATTATGCTCATGGTTTACAATTTTCTACTCGGGATGTGTATGAGACTAGAGTTTATAATTTTATCTACAGTCATATCCTTTTCTAATAGTTTAAATAGGAATATAGATATTTATATTTGACAATTGATTGATGAGTTCAAACAAATATGGTCATCTAAGACTTTGACATATAATATCTTAAGGAAACAAAATTTTCAAATGAATGCAGTTTTGATGTGGATTGTCAATTATTTTTCTGGATATAAAATAGTTTTTGGTTTGAGAACTCGTGAAAAATTAGCATGTGTGCTTTGTATGGAAAATAATAAGACTTTTACCTTAACAAATAGTGATAAAGTATTTTTTTTATTATCATTAGAAGTTTTTATCAACCGATCACAAGTACAAAAATAATAAAAAGAATTTCTTTATAGGTAGAGTTGAAAAGGATGTTGCTTTGTTGGTATAGTTGGATGAATAATTGTATGACATGGTCTTATAGTACGAGGGTATTGTTTTTTATTTTCAATTTGGTAAGCAAAAGTTTTTTGGTTGTGGTGTGATCTAAAATTAAATGAAGTATTTTTTTAGAGTTTTCTTATTGAAAGACTAATTTTTTTTGTCATAATCTAGATGTCATATATATCAAAAGAAACATGTTTGAAAATGTTTCTAATACGGTAATGGACATGAAAAGGAAGATAAATAACAATATAAATGTTAGAATAAATATATCTTTGTTTTGTTACAATAGTTAATAATGGGTCACGGGTCGTAAAATATAAAATCAGATTTGTCTTAAATAATAATGCATAGTTATTTGTCTACCAATGACTTATGAGTCTATGTTTTCCTAATAAGAATGAAAAATTGTATGAATGAATAGTCATGATTGTCATGTGTTTATACAAACAATCATTCCACTTATCAGAATTTATTGTCAAAATAGATATGAAATGCATTTATAGAGATTAGTTACTTTTTTAAAGATATATATTATAACAAGTTGGCATACCCAACACATTGAGAAAGCTTGAAATGAATATCATCTAAATAATTTGCAAACTTAAGATGATATTGTTTTCATTCTTATTTAACTTAATGAAACATCTACCTATACATTTATCGTTTAAAGCAAAAGTTGGAGGCCATATACATTACAAATGGATGTATTCATTCAAGAGGTTAGGGATTACACATGCATATTAAATTTCTAATGTTTTTTTTTAATTTAAAACATTCATTTAATTTCATACAAATATTTGTTCAACCTCAAGAAAAAAAGTTACAAATAAGGCATATGTTAAGGATTTAATATGTAAGGCTTATATTGATGAAAAGATCTCAATATTTATCTTGTATTATTTTAAGTTTCACTTAAGAACAAAAATCAATCACATTCTAAAATATGATGACAATGAAGAAATGCCTTTGAATGAGAATTTATCGATATTTTTTTATCCTACATGATGTTTACTAAAAAATATAGTGAGAAAAAAATACTTAAATTATCTTTTTTAAAATGATTTTTTTAATTGATATTTTTTAAAAATTTCATCTTAATTAAAAATTAAATTTTATAATTTGTTTCAATTTATTTTTTATAAAATTATTATAATCTTATTATCTAGGTTATAAATTTCCAAGTTTATCTAATATATTATCATTTTAATATTTTTTAAAAAATAACATCTTTAAAATTTTTTAAATCAAACTATTTTTTAACAGCTCATCTAGAATATCTTTAAAACCATTAACCAAGTCTTATTGAATCAACACCTGAGCAGTTTAAATTTTGTTTTAACTAGAAAATATGTTTACAATGTTTTAATAACATTTTCAACCCTCAACTTACAGCGAGGCAAAGATCTGCTGAAGAACTAAGTTACAATTGCTTTAAAGAAACCCAAGAACCAAAGAATATTCCACTCAACCGTGGATTACTTGGAAAAACAGCAAGGGCTGGGCCTGCAAGCTGGTATTGGAGCTGGACCATCTGGTTCATTTTCCTAGTAAGAAGCACTTTTACCAATGGATTCTTTCGACTTCAACAGTGCAGACCCTGTAGAGGTATACTGGATGTTAGGATGTCGAGGGTTAGTTGACGATACGATTCTATGCCCTTTTACATGCATCGGAATCATTTCCAAAGACTATTTCAACCAGCCAGAATTCTTCAATAGGAATGCTAAGGTAACCCTGACTCTCACAACTAAGCCTGGACAGTAGTGACAAGACATTCATAGATTGAAGCTACCTATATTATTTCATCTCCACCACAAGTGGTAATAGCATTGCGTTGGTAATACTCAATCCACTCTCCTCTTATTATTTCTTCCATAGGTTTGTTACATGTAAATTTGACAATTTTCATTCATCTAGACTAATAATGGATGACAGCATAAATTCTACCAAAAAGGAGAAGAATTTTACACTGGCAAGATAAGATATATTTTACAGTTTTTCAAACCTGAATGGATGCGAATCCTCCGCTCTCTTTGAGTGAGCCATGAAGCCTAAATCAAAAGGCATCACTTCCATCTCCTAGTATTGAGAGAGAAAACGGGGCAATAGCAACATTGAACGTGGGTGAGCCTGCTTTGTCGATGTGTTTCATCTCAAAGTCACCTTCCTGCAATTGTACGAAGGAAATAAAATTTACCAGCATCCCTATGAAAGGGAAATATCCAAAACTTTCAAAATCATTCACACTAAAATAAACTAAAAAAAAATAATTCATTTAGCTTTAAGAACACTTCTACAGACCACGACTTCCAAGAACATAAGGCATATAACCATAAAATAGAAAGCATGATGCCAGCAAGGCAAACATCCATTACTGTGCTGGAATTTGTTGTGTGGTGAAATATAAACTAGATTACATATCTCTGATACAGATATAATCAAGACAATATTTCATTACATGATAAAAACAGCCTTGCTTCGAGGCTATATGAACACTGGCCATATATCATGCTCTAACTTCAATACTCATGGGATTTATCAATCTTGATATATAAGCACAAACCTTGTCCCCATCCCCTCCAAATTACGAAAGGAAAAGGTCAAAAACCAGCAATCACTCTCCAGGTAGAGAGAATATAACTGCAACTGCAACTTACCATTCTACCATTAGGAGTGCATAGCGGGCATGCAGATGAGTATTCAAATGCTGTCCTAGGAAGTATAACTGGCTGTTCACCTATAACTCCAACTCCCCTGCAGCATGACAAATGATACAAAATTCATAGGAAGCCAATGCTGATGGAACCAAAAAGTAAAAGAAATTGATGGACGACGCACATGACACAATCCATAGGATTTGTCTCATCGAAGAAGTTGTCACCAAAACCAAGATACATAAACCAGAGTACTTTTGAAGAATCTTGACCAGAATAAGATAATTTAACTCACCAAACGTTTTCAGTTTTTCCTTTGGCATCTGTGATAATCCAGTGTCTTCTGAGAAGTTGAACGGGGCGATCTGAGTTATTAGTGATTCTTATTCTATATGCAAAGAAGTACTGCCCCTTTGAAGGCTGACTTCGGCCCTCCATGTACAAGCTCCTAACTTGAATCCTGATCCCCTGAAATACACAAGACTTGGGTTATGACTGCTCAAATCAATTTAAACCATTTCTAACATGCCTTTTATTTGGCCTCTTATTTTTTTTAATCAACTTTATTTTATCTATTGCTAACTCAGTTTATGCAAAGTAAAGCAACAAGATGATTACCTGATCAAGAGCACAAAACTCAAATCTAGACCAGATTGTGGGTATTTACCTTGACATGTTGAAAAGATTAAGACCAGATTGTGGGTATTTACTTTGACATGTTGAAAAGATCATGCATAATAAAGCAATTTTGTATTGTTTATTGCCAACTCACACATATTGCAACTGTCCCATCCATACACAACCCATTTATTCTCTCAATTTCAAACATGTCTGTACTATCATCAAAAAGATCATGCATGGTAAAGCACCTTTGTGTTATGTATCACCAGCTCACACGTATTATGAAGCCCCATCCAAAATTATCCCATTTATTACCCAATTTGAACATATTTCCCATGCTGATAGTATTTTATTAGATATGATATACCAGGAGGTCAAAACCGGTTATTCCAGAACATCAGGTGGGTCTCTAATTCAAATATGCTGAAATAAGTTTTGCACTGGCCAGATTTAAATACACAAATCAAATTGTAAGATAACAGAGTCAAGGAAAAATGGAGAGAATAAACATATGGGATTTTTTAAGTTTAAATCAATTTATATGCCAGATGGTCAAAGAAGCTACATGAACTAAATGAAATCAGTTTATATCAAACACGGGATTTCTAAAACAGTAATAACTACCATGCTGATCAGATTGTTAGCATACCAAGGTAGTTGCATCACTTGAACATTTCAAGAGAGAGTGTGGCGCAATTTCCTTTAACTCATCCCGATACCTAGCTGCATCCTGCCAAAAATTTACCAGAGATAAAAAGTTTATCAGAAACGTCCATGGTAAACAGAATAGCTTAGGAATAATATGAAATTATTTTTTATGGCATGATTCTGGCTAAATAGTTTCCATATCAATAAACTCAAATCATAACTGTAAAGCGCAACCTCATTTTAAGTCCAAGAAATATATAGGCCCCATTCCAAGACACTAGGATGAAGAAAAGACTGTTACTTGTACTGTTTTAATATATAGATTGATGCATCTCATTGCAAACTACCATTGGATATCCATGCTTCCATGAAGTTATATCACTTCCATGCCCTTTACTAGAATATTGAATTGCTTTGTGGTACTTTTATGGTCATATTTGTGCTGATAAATGATTTACGAAACAAGCATGCAGTCACCGGATAAGGCAGATGCCAAAGAGAAAAGATGGGATATCTTATGCTAAACTGACAACATCCTAAGAACCTACACTGTCAAAGCTTGCAGAAGGGTGGTTGGTGCAAGAGGTCTTCAACTCAAGTGCTCCATGTGGGTTGAGGCCAACTGCGGCCAACTATATCTTAACCTTAGATATATATCATGTGTTTGACCCACGATTGGGAACACTCATAGTTTTCGGACACTATTCTCTTATGAACTCTTCATGAAGGGGCAAACAAAATCTAAAAGCCTATAAAACTTAAAGAACAAAGGAAGCACAGGGTAGTTTATCCCGGTCATTTATATTGCTGGTAAATGATTATTCTCAATAACCTTTTTTCCTATTACAGTATCACAAGAAACTTAACAGGTAAAATGGGCAACAACTGGCAAGCTGAAACATTACAAAAGACGCAGAATTGAAGAACCAGGGAGACTGAAAAAATAAACAAAAAAACAACACAATAACCATTTTGACCAAACCCAAACATGAAATGTTTCCATCTAAAATGAATTACTTCTCCAGTGGTTTTAAAAGAATAGCAGCACAAATAAACCCACTATATAATATAAAGTAACATCACATTCGAATTGGAAAATGAGATGCCGCAAACAGTTACCTCAAACTGCTCATCAGCAACTGCCTCCTTCAGCAACCTATGCAGCCGCAAAACTGGTTCCTCTTCCTCAAATGACTTCAACGAATCACGAATTCTCGCAGCTTCTTCATAATCCTAATGTCAAAACAAACAAAGTTATAGAGTTACAATAGACATTGGTCAACTTTTGATACTCAATAACCCATTTTATTGCCATAACAAAAAACCAATCAAGCTTCTTGACCTTCGATGTCACACATATTTTGCTTATATTGGCCACATCCTCAACCAAAAAACAAAAAGGGTAACTTTGAACCCACAAATTGCTACATTTTCCGAGAAACCAAACAGTGATTAAGCATAAAATTTCACAATTAAAATGTAATGACAAATCAGAATTATTTTTAAAAAAAGAATGAAATTGATTTTATTTAAAATGAAATTGTTCCAAAGAAATAGACACAAAGAATTAACTGTGCGAAAACATAACAATAATAATACTAAAATGTTACCTCAGATTGCGCAGCAACCTCCATTTGTTGTTTTAGCATGGCATACGTTTGACTCCGTGACAAAAACGAACTCGGACTATGATCCGAACCCGAACTAGAACTTGTTCCTTCACCGTTTCCATCTCTCTCAACAGAACATGCAACAATCCGACAATTTCTGTAGGAAACTCTGAAACTCAAACACTGTCTCCTCTCCTCTCCGAAGCTCCGACCTGGAACAAACCTCCTCGTACCTGTACTAAAATCCGTCGACGGTCTCAGATTGAGGGACTGCATTTTTTTTAGAATAAAAAAAAGAAGGTAAAGAGCGCCAGTGTTTTTTATTTTTATAATGTCTGGCGACGGTGAGACTTTTTTACTACGAAGTGACTAAATTGACCCTATGAATATGTGCGGTTTATGGTAGAATAGAGAGACGAAGGAGAAGGGTAATTTGTGGAGTTCGTCGTTATCGAGGAGGGCGGGCTATTCATAGGGGGTAGCAGATTTTGCTGGTTATAGAAGAGAAATTTACACGTGTTGGATTGAGAGCGAGAAAAAGAAAATCAAGGAATCCTCGTTTAATTGGTCAAACGAAACGAACCACAGGGAAAGAGACTGCTCGTTGAATCCCCGAACGACTTGCTGACTACCTCGTTCAATTAGCATGATCACTCTTCTTGGTATGATTATGCTTCGCTGTTTCTGTTGAATCCCCGAACGACTTGCTGACTACGATTAGTATGATCACTCTGCTTGGTATGATTATGCTTCGCTGTTTCTCTGCTGCAACGTCTGCTATACTAGTTATCTCACCGATGCCTTTGGCACGTTGAAATTTAAAAAAAAAAATTAAAACTAAGAGTATACATGCTATTGTAATATTTTTTTATAAAAAAAATAATTATAAATCAAATGATTTATTTAAATATTTAATAATTATTTGTATAAATAAATAAAAGTTATTAATAATAACTAAAAAAAATTGAAAAAATTAAGAGAAAAGTAGTGAAATCGATAGAGATTGCAAGAATCATATACAAAACAAAAAAATTAAAAATTAAAATCTTTTATCTAATAAGAGCTTGTAAAACTCATGATCTAAGTAATGAAATCATAATAAACCGATATAAAAGAAATTAAAAGTAACCATAAAATCATTTAAAAATAATAATGTGGAATAATAAAATCATAAAAGAAAGTGAGGGAAAAAAATTATTCATAATCATATCAACTCTTACAACTTGTGACTCTTGTCATTATATTGATGTGAAAAATAGAAAAATCATGAAGCCTAATCCTAAAAATATTGAAGGATGAAACTGGAAAAAAATTCAATCACATAAGAAATTGTAATTAAAAGAATGATGGTGAAAATCAAAATAAAAATTAAATTTAAAGGTATAAAACAATCAAATTGGAGGGTTAAATTGAAAAAAAAAACTTTAATAAAAAAATCAAAAGAATAAAAGCTAAATTAAAAAAAAAATAGCATAAACTTTAATTCAATGATGAGATTTAAAACTAATAAAACTTTAATAAAAAAGCCTAGGGTAAAAACAAGAAATCAGAAGAATAAGGAGTGAATTGAAAAAAACAATATATAAAAAATTATAATTTAAGGACTAAATTGAAAACATAAAAAACTTTTCTAAAAGGGTTAAGGATAAAAATATGTAATAAAAAAACATAAGGATTGAAATTTAAAAAAAAAAAAAAGAAATAAGGACAGACATGCACTTTCTCTAGAAGAGAGAGAAAAAATAATTATCGGCGACAAACCACTTATCATTTTCCATCACGTGTCACGCTAAGAGGAAAAGTATGCAATAACGCTTCTAAAGACATGATGGAAGGTCATGCTTGGCTACTAGATGGCATCACATGTATTCCTTAAATAGTGCAATCACCATTCACACACTAGCAACTTTTACGAATTAAAAATAAAAAAAAATCAATGTTAAATTATCAAAAACACCCCTTATTACAATTGAAATAATAAATAAACCAACGTGTAAAACAACCCTAATTGCATTAATTTTTTTTCCTAAAGGCAAAGACTTGTTTTAATTGTAGCCTAATAAGAAAAAAAAAAAACAAAAACAAAGCCCTTGGTCAACCACTCAATTTTTTTTTTGTCCTTGATGGTAAGGAAGTATTTTTACTATTTTAAACTTTGCAAAAAGATAAAAAAAAAAAAAAAAAACCTTTGGTTAACAATTATAAATTTTGTTGACCTTAAGGGTAGAAGAGTAATTTCACTATACAAAAAAATTAGAATAGATTAACATTCCTCCTATCAATCTTTTAACGAACAATAAGCCTATAAAAAAGATTAAAATACCCTCACAACCAAGGTTTTTATTTTTTTTCAACCCAAGAGTGAAATGGTAATTTTACTATAACAATTTATAATAAACTGTGTCTATTAAAAACTCATGTCGTGTAATTTCCTACTTAATATATCTAATATTTTTTTTATCATTTTCTTTTGAATTTATTCAATAGTTAATAGCTATAAAATAAAAAATTATATATTAACAATAAAAACTAAGTTGTTAGGTGTTTTACTGGACACGCGTGTATTGTAGCCCCTCTCACATTTCACTATGAACTACATAGTTAAGAAAATTTTCATTTTGATCATTAAACTTTGTTTTTGGATGATTTGATCCATTTATGGCTAAATTGAATGCCAATTATTTTTTATTTGTTCAGATATGACAAAGTTGAAAAACATATAACCAAAGTGACAAAAGCTAAGAAAATAAGTGGCCTTTCCAAAACTGATGAGAAAAAATGATTTTAGCCTTTCATCTTTCTAATTTATACATTTCCAATATCTTTAGCTTTCAAAAATTCAATTTTATCCAAAATTTTATTTTATTTTTTATTTCTAAGTCCTTCATTTTGAGATAGGAGAAAGACAAAATCACTATATTATAGTGCTAAGGAGAAAAAATCATTAGTTGACACCATTTTCGACCACAAAAATGATTAATCGTGATGTAATGAGGTTCCATTCAATATGAGGAGTTCCACTATAGTGTTCCTTTGCCCTTCCAATGTTCGAGAGAGTAGATCTAACCTGAAGAAGTTTTTTTAATTTGAGTTTTTTTTATGGGTTTTTGGCCATAAATAAGTTAATTAAGATCTTTATGGTGTTTTTTATTTTTATTTTTATTTTTTAGGTCATAATGGGTTGAAAATAGAGATGAGAATGGATACCCATAGCTAAGGTTATTCAATATCTATACCCAAACTCGATCTTAAATTTTTTACCTAAAATCGATCGAGTATAAACCAAACCCAACTCAATCAGGTTTTATGTATTCTTGAAAACTCCAGTAATTTCCTATAGAAAATATTTGAATAATCATTAAATAAAATCAAGTTAAAATTCATATATTACCATATGACTTGAAATTTGAAAAGAAATTGAGTGCAAAATATGCAAAATCAAAGCAATTAGGCAAAGATTAGGAAATGCAAAGGGAACTAACTTGGCCAAAATGAATCAAACCACAATTACTTGAAAATATATTTAAAAATTTCAAAAGTTTTAAAGATTTTGTTAAACAGATTTAAAGTTGTTTAGGGTTTATGCAAAAATTACTTAAAAATCAAAAGTTAATTTTTGCTTTGAATATTTTCTTCAAAGTTAGGTTGTCATAAACCATAATTTATCCAATTATCCTGCAACATTCTCATTTCCAGAATCAAATAAAGCAGTTATATTACCAAAATTTATGGGTAAGTTATTTTTTTTTGTCAACTTATTTAAGATTTATTAAAATTTTTACTAAAATTTCAGCAAAGTAATCTCCCCTATACTAGAAAGATCCTAAGTTATCGACAATTTATTTTATACATATTTTATGCTCATTCTACATCATAACATATTTATATTGCATTGCAACCATAATCATTACTAGTCACAAGCATAATAGCTCACATATTCATTTTTCCTTCTCATTTACAAACACATACAAAATGGTAGTCAAAACTGGATAAACAACATTAATATTACAAGCATAAAATAGTAAGAATCTTAAGTCTTGATGATTAATATAAAGAGATATTAATACAATTCGAGTTATATAATTACTTAAAGGAAATACATTGGCATTCATTTAATTCCTAATTCATACAAAAGGAACTAGGAACCTAGAACACTACTCCTAGCATGAATGTGAAGGACCTATATTTTGATTTATGTGGAGTTATCCCCAATCCCATATATTTAGTTTTTTTCTCTTTTTTTTTCTCATTTCAACCTTCAACATTGAATTTATTGGAAATGAAACTTCATTATTTTTTTATTTATTTTTTATAAAATTATCTTAGTCTCATGACTCATGTCATAAGTTTTACAAGTTAACATATGTTAACTTTGATTATTTTTTTATCATTTTTTTAATTGAATTTTTTTTTAATTTTATCCTTTAATATTAAGTTGGTTTGAAATTAGGCTTCATAATATTTTCAAATTCTTTTTCATGGGGTTATCTTGAGCTTATGATCGAATTCGAAAGTTTGACAGGTCAATCTGAGTCGATTTAATATGTTTTCATCTCAATATTTGAAAACATATAATCCAATGTGTCATTGTATTTTTTTGTCCAATATACATCATATTTTAAGTCCATGATTACAAAAGAATTTGTTAGAAAATACATTAGCAACAATTGGATTTTTTTAAGTTAGAAAAAATGATCTAACCCGTAGCATAAAATCAGCCAATAATCTAGTAAAAAACTCTAAAACATGTGGGAAAAAGACTATTGAAATCCATATTAATAAACCATTTTTCCATTCTTAAATTTTAAGGGTTCATTGGTATTACCATGTTGATGAATGATGGATTGGTCTTTCACATTTTGTATGCACTATAAAATGAATTCATTACCATTGGAGTCAAATTTTATAAAAATGATGTCCATGGGTGTTTTTGTATTTTTAATTTTCTAAACACAATAACATGACTTAAATGCCCTTAAAAATGGAATTTCCTTTAGCTTATATCCTGGGGCTTTTTTGTATTTTTACTCATGTTATTTTTTTGTTATTATTTGGTTTGTTTAAGGGCAATCTTATAATTTTAAAAATAGAAATATTATTAAAAATTTTTGTTGATGCATGCAATGCACGTGTTAGCGTGTAAGCGACTATTGTAGTTTTCAAATAATGTGTGTGGAGTTGTCCCGTGACCAAATTCCATATTCTTCGATGATGTTTGATTCATCTCAGAATCCCCTATGTGATGAGGCAGTGCATATAGTAAACTGTCATTTAGTTTGGTGTTATTGACCTTCACTTTTCTCTTTTCTTTTCCTCTCTCTCTTCCTCACTTTCTGCGCATGCCCCTTCAAAATCTCAAAGCAGCCCTTATGCAACAACCCTAACTTTCTATTTAGATGATACTAACTGAAACAACCCCAACTTTCTATATAAATTGACATGCAATTTCTTTCCTTGCATAATGTTAAAAATATGGCAAGTTGTTTTCTTGTTGGTAATAATGGTCGACTAGGTCAACTTTTTGATCTACCAGTTTAGCCTATTGGTTTAACATTTCCCTATACTAGTTATAGTAATGATCGATCGATTTCATTCTATCTATAATTCGGTCAATTGATTCATTTTATAACTTTATTATTTCCCTTATTATTTAATAATTCGATTGATTAGTTTTCTAGACTGATTGAGATAATAACAAAATTTATTATTTAAATTCATCAAATGATCGATAAGTTAAATTTACAAATCTAGTTGGTTGACCATTTTTAATAGAATCAATCATCTTTAGCATTCATCCTTGGAACTTTTCCATATCATCAATAACTTTTATTATGAAATATTTTTACATTATAATCATAGTCCAATTCTTCTTAACACTTCTCGTACCATTATATTCCATGATTCAAATTCACAAGCAATAAATAATGTAAGGCATTACACATTTTTCTAAGAAAACATTATAAATTCAAATTATACATTTAAGATCTTTACAAAACAAGGAACATAATATTATAAGATTTATTAGGAAAAGCTTATCAGAAGTGGTACAATATTATAATCTCGACATAGATTTCTTATCTAATTTTACATTATAAAAGGATTAATTTTCTCAAAATCACAATTTCAATGATTATAAAAGAGAAACCCTTTAATCATTTTAATAATTCCACACAAGAACATGAAGTATGTGGAATTAAATTAATAATAAGTATGAGTTAAACTAGGTTATTAGCATATAAACAATTAAAAATCCTTATGATGAGATATATGTTTAATTTATTTCTCGAATCATTCTAAACCATACTTTTCAAATCATAATTGAATCATTACAATCAACCACTCTCTCATAATTCCACTATAAATGATTACTTATTTTCACTAATTTTTTTTTAATTTGGGCATTCATTTCCATCATTTAATAACTCAATTATTAAACATAAAAATCAAATTTAAATCCATAACTCATTAGATAGCTAATTTTATCACCCATAACAATGTATCAATCTTATCATAAAACGATTAATTCCTCAACTCATTACCAAACACTAGCTCTATCACAAGATAACTACTTCATCAACCTATTATGGGGCACGAGCTCCATTATAAGATAACTAGTTCTTTAGTCCATTATCAAGCACTAGTTCCATCATCAGATGGATAGTTCCTCAGCCTATTATCATGTATTAGTTTTATTATAAGATAACTAGTTTCTCATTTCATTATCGAGCACCAATCTCATTACCAGGAAGCTAGCTCCAATAACAGTACTAAATTAAAGAAAAAATAAGGTACAATTAATGAAATTGAGAACTTCTTGTATTAATATTAGAATATCGAGGAGGTATGCACCTACCTATTATTAGTGTTCTAAATGCACTTTTTTATTGCTAAAGAGCTCCTACAACCTCTCCTGTATCAACAAGCATATTATATCATTTTTCATTTAATGCTTATTTCACATAATATAATCTAAGTTGATTCTTTTAATTCAATCATCATTTTCAAGAGCTAATTAACAAGACAACTTCTTATTTCATTATAAAAAAAAATCTAAAAAAACGAATCTAATTCACCTTTTATTTAAGATAGCCAAAACTCTTTCAAAGAAAAACTTATTTATTTTACTAATTCATATATAAGTTTGTTTCTTACCTGTCCAAATACTCATTTATAATTAATTAATTAAGAACTCATCATTTTTTAATTCCTTCAATAATGATCGATTCTAGCAATAGTCAAATCATTTAGATCTTTTTTTTTTATTCACTATTTTGAGTTATTCTATCATTATTCCAACCCCAATTACATCAAAAGCACAACAATATCCTCAAATATATCAAGAACTCTAATTCTTCAAATTAAAGATTTTCAATCAAAATCAATTAATCCCATAATAACTTGTTTAAATAGCACCAAAACACTTTACAAGATAATAATCTAAGCTTCAAATGTCAACCATACAGAATTTTCCAAGCCTTTCTTTCTTCCTCACCAAACTTATAACCCTTTCCTCTCTTAATTCTTGTTTAAGGTATTTAGATCATCAACCCCCTCACAAGCTCCCTACCTTGTCTATTTCTTTAGTTCTTCTTAAGGAATTTCCCATATTTTTCTTTGCTTCTCTTTTCTCTTCTTAATTTTAATAATTTTTTTAAAAAATAACTAAAATTCTTAGTTTTTTCCTTATTTATTTATAATCAACCAATGGACTATTTAGGGTTGTTAAATGAACCAATCAATTGTCTCCTTACTTAATCTCTAGTACCTTTTTAATTCAATTCAATTTTATTTTTTTCAAAACCACCCCTTATCTATTAAAAGAAAATTTCACAGTCTTATATTTTATTTCTTTTGGTCGGGGTTTAAACCTTAAATTTTTTATTCTTTTGGATTTGGTTTTTATTTTTTTTATTACTATTTGTTTTATTTAGAATAGTTTATGAATTTAGAATTCATTTTCAATTTCACCCCCTTTATTTTTTTTTATCTTTCTAATTTGATCTCCATTCTTTTGAGTGCTATTTGTTTTGTTTAAGATAGTTTTTTAGATTGATTTTTTTACAATTTCATCCTCTTTATATTTTATTTTTCCTTTTAAATTTGATATTCATTTTTTTAATTGCTATTTTTGCTTCATTTTGACAATGTTTTTAATTTAAGTTTTTCTCTAGTTTCATCATTCAACATTAAATTGGTTGTGAATTAAGTTTGTTATTGAGGCCTAATCTAGGATTTTATGAGTGCGAGTTTAAAAAATTAATTTAGGTTTAAGGGGTTCGTCTGAATTTAATTAGTTTTTTTAAGCTCATTTTCAATGGGAGACCAGGCTCTATTAATTTTTTTATTTACTGCATGTAGGACTTTTTAATGATTTTAAAAATGATCTTGGTTGTCTTTTATCTTTTTATTTGTTAAATTTAGCGTTTGTTTTGAAAGATCTATATTTTAATTTAATTTAATTAATTGATTAAATATAAGTATGATATGCTTACTTAATAATATTTTTTTAGTTTATATTTTATTTATTTTAATTTTTTTAATATTTTTTTAATTAAAAATTAAATTCCTTTAATTTTTTTATTTGTTTTAAAAAGTATTTTTTATCGGATCTTAAAAATGATTTGGGTTGTGAAGTATGTGTGTACGATAGATGACTAAAACGATTTCGTTCAATAGAAGCCAAGTATCACGTGTGAGCTTTTCTCCGTAATCCACACCCATTGCAAAGCCGTGTTTTTCCAAAGTCAAAAAAAAAAAAAAGAAAAAAGAAAAAAGAAAAAAAAGAAAAAAGAAAAGGTTTTGTAATACGTTAGCTTTCTGGCTGCCCCCTTTGAATTGATCTCGGCTGGAATGTGGGCTTCAATTTGCGATGTGATGGCTTTAAGGCCAGAATTTGATCCCTTCTTTCAGCATCTAAAATTCGATAATGTCCAAAGAGCAAACAGCCAGACGTTGCCAAAAAACCAAAAAAAAAATGAAGAAAGAAAAAAAGAAGAATGAAAGCTGACGCGGTAAAAGGCAATGTACATCACCAAGAAAATGTCAACACCACCACCAACAACACGAACAAGTACCTGTACATATGGCGTCCTCAGTTTTTTCTGAACAACAACAACTACAGCCTCTCTACCCTCCTCCCTTCTCATCATCACCACTTCTAACAATAACAAGTAACAAAATTGCTTCCTTTTCTCTTCCCCATCTTTTCTCTTTCACATTTTCACTTCCTTGATCGGTCTCTCTCTCAGTATTCAGCCGCTTTCAGCTCAGGTAGACAATCGGCTCCCAACTTTTAACTAGTTTTATGAATGGATTGATGATTGTGTTTTGCTCAAACTCTTTGAGTCAACTTTGTGTTTATTTTTCTGATCCATTTATGTAGACATTGATCTTCTTGTGTTGAGAAGAGGCTCAAAATGGGTTTTTTCTTTGTCCCCCGGTCTGATCTCTATTTTGTTCCTACTCTGTATTTGCATACTGTATCAATCTTATTCTGTTTAGATAAAATTACAATTCTTTTTATAGGGAATTTATTCCTCCTTTTAAAATGTTTAATGTAATTTATTTGATTGTTCTCTTTCCCCAAAAGCATTACATTTTGAAGGGCTTTGTCTATTATTGATAGCTTGAAAGTGCTTGAGATTGGATTCCATTTGTGATCGCATATTTATTATGGTGAATGCACATGGTGATAATTTCAGGTTTTTAGCTCGGATCAATTCAGGAACATGTTTGGAGGTAATAACAGCAATCCTTTGGTTCCAATTTCCTTTGGCGAAAACCACATCTTGGATGATGTTAATGCATTGCCTCAGCTGCAGCTACTTGGGGATTGTGAGTTTTTCTGCAGACTAATTGCGTCTTATTTTTTTATTGTGCTGCTTTGCATTAAAGGTCACAAAACTTTGACATTGTTATGCTAGGTGGTCATTACATTTCATGGCGTTGTTATTCGAGAAGAGCTTACTTACATTTTCCCTCTTTATTCTTTTGTCCCTCTGTGCGGTCATGTTAGATTGTTTTGTGCTTAATGGATTCCTGATTTTTGATCTTCCGAAAATAAATCTGCGTGTTTTGATTTGATGCATGCTTCTCAGATGAAGTTAGTCAATAAGTTCAAGTCTCCGATGCTTATTTAATGGGGGTACTTATCTAAGAAATTGGAATAGAGAGAGGTCTTTGATTTCTTTCTTTTTTCCCACGACAATATTGTTCTATTGTTCTATCAATAAACTGCAATTAAACTCCTTGTGTTTTGCCTTCTTAATGTGCACTTTGCTAATTACTAATTACAAATTTACTGTCTTTACTCCTCTCTTTTGAGAGTTACATGGCTGGTCTGATCACCTAGTGAAGTTTCAATCTGTCACAGATCCGGTTGGGCGCTTTGGGGTCTCCACAAATCACACCAGCAATCAGCAGACAGCAATCTTTGGCCAGCCTGCTAAAAGAGTCAAGGAGACAGAATCCATTTCTGGACAGAAAAAGCATCAATTATCATCAAGTAATAACTTCAGCCAATATGATGCCTGTAAATCGGGAATCATTCTGAATCCTAATCATGTATCAATTGGATTGAAACTATCTTCTGAGGAAGATGAACACAACTCTTCTGTTACTTGTACAAGTGAAAGTAATACAGCCACCCTCCCTGTGACGTTGTCTCTCAGTGATGATCTTAAAGCAGAGATTAATTTGCAGAAAGGGGATTTAGATCAGTATATTAGACTGCAGGTAATAATTTCATGCCAAAGTATTAATGCCTGCTGTCATACACATATGTCTAGCATACTTCCACTTAGCCCATACACTTAATGTATAGTAGTGTGCCAGTTACTCCTTAACTATTCGACTCCTTACTCTTTCTCTGTTTGTGTGCTACTGAAATTTTGTTTTACCAGAAACTTCTGCCTTCCTTCTGATGCCCTTTGTAATGCATCCAATTCATGCATCATTTTCCATGAAGGTAAAAGTTGTTCCCCTTTCTTCATTCTTACAGAGGGAAATGACATTATAATAAACACCCCCCTCCCTTTTTTTAAATCCCATTTTTTATACAAAACATCTTCCCTCTTGGACCTTTTCTGCACACGTCCAACTGTCTTGTTAATGTCTACAATCTTGCATCAGTAGGAGCCTAACTTATGAGTTAGGATAGGAAAAATTCAAAGAATAGTCATAATGTTTCCGATATGAGACCTTGAGACCTTTTGCATTCTACATTTACAAGAATACGAGTAGTAATAATTAGCTTGTGACATGCTTTAATGCTGCTGCTGGCTTTCACCCTTTGTGCTTACCTCGTTTGTTTTTAACAGGAAGAAAATTTCATAAAAGGTGTGAGAGAACTGGGGCAAAGACATACAGTTTCATTGCTGAGTTCCATAGAACAAGGAATTAGCAGCAAGCTACATGAGAAGGAGCTTCAAATACAAAACATAAACCGCAAGAACAAGGATCTAGTAGAGAGAATAAAGCAAGTTAGCATGGAAGTCCATTCCTGGCACTGCAGAACAAAATATAATGAGTCTGTAGTTAATGTTCTGAAAAGCAATCTGGAGCAGGTAATGGCACAAGGTGCGATGCATGGCAAGGAAGGTTATGGGGACAGTGAGGTCGACACTGCAACCTCTTATGCTAACCAAAACCATATGCGCCTTGTGGATGGTTCTGCGAATTCAATCTCCTTGAAAAAGCAGATGACTTGCAGAGCTTGCAAGATCAATGAAGCTTCCGTCTTGTTATTTCCATGTAGACACTTGTGCCTCTGCAAAGTTTGTGAAGGGCTCATAGATGTTTGCCCTGTGTGCCGTATAGCGAAGTCTTCAAGTGTTGAAGTTTTTCTGTCCTAAGCAACTGCGATCTTTAATAACCCTACATGAAAGGTATGGGTTAAAATGGCAATGTTTTGATGTTTAGTGGATTTGTATTTTGCTACAAAGATATTGATGTGCTAAATACGATGAAGTTCCCAAGCATTTTAACATGGAAGTTTTGGGGAACCAGATGGATACTTTTTATCCATTGATTATTCTTTGCTGGTAGGATTTATCATTACAACTTCCACGTACATGATCGGAAGATGACAAGTCCAAGCATTGTTGTTCATCTTCTTTCACTTCATTGAATTTGCAACAGAAGCAAGTTGCCTCTTAACAACTACACATAAGGACATGGAGCTTTGGTGCTTTGTTTCTTGAGGCTGCATCTGCTACAAAACTGGAAAGCAGCCAGCTGTTTGATGAATAAATACCCAGTAATTGAGATATGGTTTTTCCTCGATGTCGACACCACATACCATATGGTTTTTCTGTAAATGGCTGTTGCCTTGTTCGGTCGTAATTTTAAAAGATAGCCATGAGAGCACCTGCTGAGGTTTCTGCTGCCCGTTACTCGTTCTTAGATGGTAAGAATAAATTAGTATGAATCTTCAAGCATACAGGGACATGCATCACTTCCCAGAATTCTGGACACAGGAAGGTTAATCCTTTCAGAGAGAGTCAGCTCAACATTATAGCAGCCCTTTTTACCTCATCCAAAAGGCCGGTTGGTGGAATTTATTTTCCATTTTGGCAACAAAGAAAGTCCCCCACTTAGCCAATTATTATTTTATATTTTGTCCATACTCTCCACCCCACTTGGAGGGTGAAGATTGTGGGAGAAGAAAGCTCCTTGCTTCCAACAACCCATCCACGTTGTCGACCAATTCGAAAATTTACTCCAAAAAGGTTAATTTTACTATCTTTTATTCAATTAACATTGTTTTGTCTTTTTTTTAAAAAAAGAAAATACCTGTTGGCATTAACTGTACCATGTTTGAGGTGGGATTGTCAAATCAATCAAATTAAATAAATTGAACGACTACAAACTTCATTTGATTCGATTTAATAAATTTTAATGTTAAAATAATTATTTTAAAATTATTTTTAATATTAACATATCAAAATAATTTAAAAATATAAAAATATGTAAAACTGTATTTTCAAAAATAATTTTAATATATATTTGAAAATATATTATTAATTATTTTTTAAAATGTTTTTTTATAAGTACATTAAAATATTTTTTTTTTATTTTTTAAAATTATTTTTAATATTAATATATTAAAACGATTTGAAAATATATAACAAGTTAAATAATTTTTTTTAATAAAACATGATTTACACTGCTTCCTAACATACCTTATTAGGTAAATATCATTTTCGATTCAATTTAAAACCTCATTACGTCATGCTTCAAGTTACAAATTCTCCTTTGTTTGTGTTTGATAATGAAATAGAATAAGGTTTTTGTTGATATGTTAGGTAGCTTTCATGTATATAAAAATAAAAGAGTTGAATGTTTTGACCAAAGAAAAAGAAAACCATATTATCCTCCCAAATTCAACTTACTTCAGAATTTACCACACCAAATCTGAGGAATAAGAGATGAACAATGAAATTAAATATATTTATTAAAGGAAAAAAAAACTATTGCTTAAGATGATTATATATTATTATTTTAAATAAAAAAAATCATTTGAGGATTATGTAATTGAATTCTTTTTATAGTTCAATAATCCTTACTGTGTGCTGGATATTTTAGTGTTTTTCAAATGATTTTTTTAATTTTTGATATTAATATATAAAAATTAGAAAAAATTAAGAAAAATATTAATTTTTTATTTTTTTAATGCCAAATATATATTTTTTTAAAAATCTTTTCGAACAAACTCCTAAATATTTTTTTAGATAATATTTGTTTTTGTGGGTAGGATGTATTTCGAAAAATTTGATTTTTTTTGAATTAATATTTTATGTTTTTAAATTATTTTTATGTGCAGGTTTTAATTTTTTAAAATATTATTTTAATATTTTTATAAAACAATTCTTAAAAAAAAAGCAAAAATTACAAACACGCTTTTAATGAGAAAATAAAATTCAGAACCTCTACCGTCTAAAGCAGAGAACTCCCAGAGTATCCCTGATTGCCAATTTTATTTTTATTCAATTTTAAAAAAACACAACACTCGTGCTCTTCTCCTATTCGCTAGGCAGCCCACCTAACATTTTTAACCTTTCCAACCTATAAAAAACCAAACACAAAACACAGAACTCTCTCTCCCTCCCTGTCTCTCTCCCCTTCCGTCTCTCTGCTGGCTCCTTTCGGATCTTGAAAATGCAGAGCACGGCTTTCACTCCTTCCTCTTCCTCTTCTCTCACTCCCCTCAAACCACGACGCCTAGTTGGTAGCCCTATTTATTCACTCCCTTCCAGATTCGATCCGATTCGCGCTTTCTCTTCTTCTTCTTCGAAGCGACACGACCCCGACTCCAACAATGCCGTTTTCCCTCGCCGATCCTGGTCCTTGTCTTCTGCTTCCAATTCCTCTCTTTCGAGGCCGTGGAATCCCTTGGTCTCCGAGCGTAAAATGGAGCGTTTTGAGGTGAAAGCAACGGCGGTTCCAGAGAGTGCTGGTGAGGGAAAAGAGAAGAGTAGTTTGACCAAGACTTTAGAGCTTGGTTTATTGTTTGGCCTTTGGTATCTTTTTAATATCTACTTCAATATTTATAACAAGCAGGTTTGCCTTTTCGTTTTCTTTTCTCTTTTTAATTATTTTACCTTTTATTTTAGTCTGTTAATTCTGTGATAAAATTGGAAGAACTTATGAAATGGAGATGCTTAGATCATTTTTCAAATTTAGCAACATATGAAATTTTTTCTCTAATTTTAATTCAAATTAGAAATCACAGTATATCGATTATTCAGATGTTCTTCTTCTTCTTCTTTTTTAAGATAACTGTTTGTGATTTTAGTTTTGCTTAGATTAATGTAGATTGATGTTCAGTATTGGTAGCCATGATAAAGGAGGATGAATGACCGTGATTGGTAATGCTAATTGTCACAGGTTTTGAGGGTATTCCCGAACCCAGTAACTATCACTGCAGCTCAGTTTACTGTTGGGACGGTATTGATTGCTTTTATGTGGACTTTCAATCTGTATAAAAAGCCGAAAGTTAGTGGCGCGCAGGTATTTGATTTGTGTTGCAGCTGCCGTGTTCAATATGTGGGTGATTGGTTCTTTTTGTTGTCGAGATGGAGACTTATTTTTGTTTTGTTTTTGGGTAGCTTGCTGCAATTCTGCCATTGGCGGTGGTTCACACGCTAGGGAACCTTTTCACTAATATGAGTCTTGGGAAGGTTGCTGTTTCATTCACGCACACTATCAAGGCTATGGAGCCATTCTTCTCGGTTGTCCTCTCTGCTATGTTTCTCGGGGAGGTGAGGCTTTTTGCTTCTTTTTTTTTCATTTTTTTGTTTATTCTGGGTAGCCTGGATGGAGTTAACTTGAATTTGCTAACATGCCCATTCTAGTAGCTAATGTTGCTGTTACAGTTTGAATGCTTGCTGATTCTGTCAGATGCTAGTTAAGTTGCTTTAGCTCTAATTCTTATCACTCTGCACCAGATGCCTACACTTTGGGTGGTTGGTTCCATTATACCAATTGTTGGTGGAGTGGCACTTGCCTCAGTCACTGAGGCCTCTTTCAATTGGTAAGTGATGCTGTCTAGTCATTATATAATTTCAGTCCTTGCCACCCCAAAAGCTTATGGATGCACTTTATTTGGAGCTGTTACTGATGCACTTTATTATGAACTTGTCATTTTGTTTTTAAAAGGGCTGGTTTTTGGAGTGCAATGGCTTCTAATTTGACAAACCAATCTCGTAATGTCCTAAGTAAAAAGGTCATGGTTAAGAAAGAGGTAATTCCAACTTCTCAGATTTACAACTACATCATGGTTTTGGTACATGCTGGACTGAATATTTTGATTTTGCTCCCCAATTGAGCTAAACATTTTCCATGATTCGTTGCATATTGCATATTCTGCTACTTCATTTTGCTCTAATTTGATTTAGATTGCTACATGATTGATGGTTTGTTCATGAACAGGAATCTATGGACAACATTACTCTTTTCTCCATCATAACGATCATGTCACTTGTCCTATTAGCCCCTGTGACTATCTTCATGGAAGGTGTCAAGTTTACTCCGGCTTACCTCCAATCTGCTGTGAGTTCTCTCTATAGAAAAAAATGTCTAAAAAAATTCATGGTTACTCAAACTGCATGCTTGGTATGAGTTCTTTTCTGATTTGCTTATCTGATATTTGTGACAGGGATTGAATGTTAAAGAGGTATACACTAGGGCTTTTCTTGCTGCGCTTTGCTTCCATGCCTATCAACAGGTAAGGCTGCTTTTGTGTTTTTTATGTTTCTCTTTTTTCTTTTTCTCCAAACGCATAGGTCATCTATTCCTAGAGAATATTTTGTTTTTACCTTTCTAGCATCTTGTTGAGTGTGTATTTTAGTCTCTGTAGTACTGTGATTTTTGTATTTTTGAAAGTAATCATTTTTATATTTTATTTTCAGTCTTCACCAGTAGAAATTTGCCTTCTTTTGAGCACTTAATTCCTTGGGTTGTTTTTAATGGACTAACTTTTTGTGGAAGATTAATATAACAGCATTTCTTATGTGCTGGAAAATGTCTACATATCACTGTTAGACAAATTTGAGTAGTCTGCACCATGCAATTAAAAAATACAACCTGAATTTCATAGTGTATTTAGTGGCTGTTAACAGACAGATATGCAAATCTCCCCTTTCGGTTTTGAAAAATGATCAATTCTATATTGTTCAAGTTTTTCTATGTTCCTTAATGTTTATTTTCTAACCTATATCCTTCATTTTGGCAAGAGAGGTTGAGAATGAGTTCTTGTCCTACCTTTCAAAATAGCACAGTTGTCATGCGAAAAATGGTTCTCAAAACATTCTTCTATCATGTTTGTTATTGCCATCTTTGTTCTGGTATTGGCTGAACTCTTCAAGCTTCTGATTGCTATTGGTGCTTTGGCACCCTGATATAAAAGACTGTACATGTCTGGAATTTGTTGTTCTTTTATTATTTTTGCTTACTTATTATGTTAACTAATTCTTTGAGGAGTAGAAGGAACTCTTGTTTTGTGCTCAGTGCAATTGATCCCTGCTGGGGTGGTAAAACAGCTTGAAACTAGAATAGGAAGTGTGCACAAGTGCTTGTGTATGATTTCAGGCCTGTATCTCTAGAAAATAGAGCATGTAACAGATTACAGTTTGTCCATGTGATGTGTCGAACAGAATTTGCACTTTGTAAATAGCTTTCTTGTTCCAAAATAGCCAAGTCTGATCTATTTGGGAATATACCTCGCAGGTTTCCTATATGATTTTGCAAAGGGTATCCCCTGTT